CTTGGGGTTCCTCCGGGGCGAAAGGGCTTGGCCAAACCTCTTCCGGCGGCCGAGGAGCGCCGAGTCCCGGGAAGTTACAAGAGGTCAGCTTCCGAAGGACGAGACCCCAAAAAAAATGCCCCCGGGGAGCGTGAACTGGGCACTGAAGCACCGCCGACCCAACCGCAGCGAGGACGGACACTAGTGGAAAACGACGGCTCAACCACCTCCCAAGTCCGCCAGAGGCCGGGCGCGAGCTCCTCCCGGCTGGCGCGCCGGAAGTCCCCTCAGTCCACTTCCGGCGCGCTTCCAACTTCCTGGGCGAGGCCGGAAGTGGCTTCCTCGCACTCAGCTCCACAGGGCCGTAAGGCAAGATGGCAGCGCTCGCTCCGAAGTGGCTGGTCAGTCTTCATCCTGTTTGTAGCACTTCTCTACCTACCAGGGCCTCTCTGTTTCCATCTCCTGGCCTAGTTTTTCTCAGTGAAGCTCGCTCATATTTCAACCTCATTCATCTGTGGCAGAGTACGGGCCGAAGGCAGCGTGAGGTGACCTGAGCGCGTTGGGCGCCATTTTGTACGGAAACTGCTGGCCGGTTGGGCGGGGCGAGCGGCGGGGAACCCAGACCAGGCCGCTGGCTGGAGACCGTGGGAGGGCGGGCGGGCGGGCTGCGGGGTGGCGGAGGGCGTGCTATCCGCCATGTATTTCCGCTTCCTCTCGGCCCGGTCCTATGAGGTTGGACCGGCCTGTTGTGGGGAGGGCGGGGGAGGTTGTTTGGAGCTTCGCGCACGGTAAGGTAAACTGAGGCAGAGCTGTGCGTGGGGCACCCGTGCGCCCGACGGTGCCGGCGGGCCTGGTGCCGGTCTCGGAGTGTCCGCAGGCTGGAGGAAGACGCGCAGGTGGGGCGGGCCTTGGAGTTTGCTGAGGTGAACCCCTGGGTTGCGCCCAGTGTCGCTGGGGGCGGGGCACGAGCGGCCGAGACTGCTGTAGCGGCCGGGCCGCAAGTGGCGGAGTGGTCTGCCCGCAGTTCCTAAAGGACCTAGTCCAGGGATGCTGGCCGGTCGTCTTCCGTAGCTGTGGGGTGACGACCAGCCGGACCCTGCTAGCCTGCCGCTTTGGTCCTGTGCCCGCACGTAGACTTTGTTTCCCTTGTGCTTCC